AAATTTCTCAGTTTTTAATAACAATTTTTAATAACAATTATTATTTATTTTACTATTTTTTCTGTACTCCTATAACAGCGCCAGACAACACCTCCAGAGGAATGACGCCAATTTTGAATCACCCTGTATAACATAACATCAATTCGTGTTCATTCTGAAACAATGGTATTCGTTTTCATAAATTTGCATAAAGTCATGAGATTTAAAAATAATTGTTACTTTGTGGCCATTTTTTTAACCTACTGAACGTTTTCATTGGGTTTGTCGGAAATTACTTTTATTTTATTATTTAGGCAGTGAGCCTTCAGAGTTTTACTTAATTTATACTCATCATTCGATGAGAGTTCAGTAATTAAAAAGAACATTATCCTATGTGACAGTTTTCTGTATTTGTCAAAAAATTGCAAACAGTCTGGCAAAACTTAAATATAATTTTCAAAGCCATGTCAAATATAATTCGCACACAGAAGAACGATTTTGTTCAAAAAGTATATTTAATAGTTTATGTCTTGAGTGTTAATACGTGCGAATAGTTTTCGAATATAAATTATATCAGCTATTTTTCTATTGTCATTTTTATTTTTAATTACCACACACTCGAAATATATTTCTCCTTTCAGATGCAAATTAAAAAGCACGCAATGAGAGGCAAAATGATTGAAAATTCTCGAAAATGCTGTCAATCAAACCGTCTACCATGTTTCCCGAAAGTTCAGAGAACAAATATGTTCCATACCTTAAAATCAGAGAAGAATCAGAAGTAAAATGAACCAATCAGATTATCTGGAATTATCCTAGTTTGCAAAGCCTGTTCTCTTCCCAACAAGCAACCTTCACGAATCACCTTAAACTTGCACCGATAACTAATACTGTCTCAATTAAGAAAAAACTTAAAGTAGCAATAACTTTATCCTAACTAATATCAATAAATAAGTTCAAATATTGTAAATCCACTAATATAAATTCAATCGATCGCAGCAAATCATTTAGATTGCCCAAGAAAACACATCTAGTCTGTGTGATATGAGGTGAATTAAACCCTAGTGCATTACAACCAGGCAAATAATGTCTGTTAACAATTTATGTTATTGTGGTAGACCAGTAATTTACCAATGTTGAATGACCACCGTGAAGAGCTTAGTAGAATTAGTGGTATTTAGATTAAACCAGCAATACAGCGTTAACAGTTTGCATAAATTTATCTATCGCTGATCTATGTTAAATGGGCTAGATCAAGAAATTCAAATGAAAACGTTCATAAGCTTATTCATCAGAATTTGAACCAACATGTAAAGTCTTGTAACAAACCACTTTCTTGGTATGTATTTGACTTTATTTCTCAAGCCCATTTTGCTATTTTTCAACAGCCTATTCATTACATTTCTAAAAAAGAAAAACAGCACACAGACTTGGATTTATATTCCTGGACCAGAGTTGGATTTATATTCCTGTTTAATGGTAACTTAATTGTTTTCGCTGAAATATCAGCACTGTGATTGTATTTCATGTTTCTCATGTGGTCAAACTGTTGATAAAATTTACACATTAAATATATATTTGCTACCCTTTATGTGCGGTTATTAGTTCACTTTTGTGTGTGTTTGTAAGTGACGGCAAATTCCTCTGAAATATACTGGAATTTGATCCCTTTTTCGCCACAACAATAAAGTATGAAGGAAACCCATCAAATTCTCGGAAGTTAAAAACATGAAAACTTTTGCAAAATTGCTTTAAGATCGTAGACCTTCAGTAAAAAGGAAAATCCTTTCAAACAAATTTATTGATCAAATTAATGGCTTTACTTCGATGGAAGCACAGCCCCAGGGACGTTATATCAAATTCCAGATGTTGGCGAAGACCAATACAAACACTTATATGTTCATAATACCTTTAAAGGGCAAGTTTCAGTTTTATTTTATACCTAGAGGGCATTTCATTTTTCGCTTGGTAAAATTCTATTCAAGGGTCGGTTTTAATTTAATGGAAGAAAAATATATTTTTATCCAACAAAAGTTTGCCCGAAACTGAAAGGGTCGGTAAATTTAATGTTTGGCGATAATACTTATGTTATAGTTATTTACGTAACCAGTAGGATATGAATATTATTAACGCGCGCATGTGAAGATTTGCACGACGAGGCTGTAAGCCGATATTTTATCTCCAACTATAACGATTATTATTTTAATGATGATTTGAGTAAAAATAATAAGTTAAAAAATCGAATACAGAGCACAGGTAATGAAAGTTTGTGATTGCCATCAGAGTTATTCTGAAAGTAATGTTTTACATTACATATTTTATAATGAATTCAAGCGATAATCTGCCATGTGATATTGAGAACGAAGCTTTTAATGTTGTTTCGGATCTTACACCAGGGAAACCATGGAATAAATACGAAGAAGCTTTTGATCGGTACTAGAAATGGTGCACTGGACGAAAGATACTAAACTAAACAAGCGAGAAAGGATTATTAGTATATTTTATCACAGTAATCAAAATACATAAACCCTCATCCCTTTGGTGTTCCATGTTCTTCGTGCGTGTATATTTTGTTCACTGTACCATTTCTGGTATTTATCAAAGCTTCTTGGTATTTATTTCTTCCGTGATTTATCTGACGCAAGATCCGAAACAACATTAAAAGCTTCGTTCTCAATATCAGATAGCAGATCGCCGCTTGAACTTATTTTAAAATGTACAATTTTAAGGCACTACTGTGACAATTAGCGCCAGATTTATTACCGCACTAGTGCGGTAATTAATTGAAAAAAGCACTGGTGCAGTTATAAACATCATTATGACATTTGAAAGAGTGCCAAATGATAGTCTTTATATAACAGTTATAGATAAAATTGCTTATAAAATTAATTTTTATATAAATCGCTCATCTGAATAACCAAGTAAGTTTTCACGAATCACATTATCCATTTTTCTAAATTTAAAGTTACAAATTTTCTAGCCGACTTTATTGGCATACATATGACAAGCTATTCGGTGTCCTTTTTTACAACAAACAATTACACAAAGAATTTATTAATAAAATTTTCAATGTAAAGGTTGTTATAAACACACGACGGAAAAATATGTACTAAACATTCCCGTTGTATAGAATAAAACAGGCAAATGCAGCTAGATTGGGAGGCAAGTCATCTCTCATTGAAACAGAGGCAACTAAATTAGTTGAAAATCAAAACTAATTGGATTTAACCATATTTTGCGATGAACACATAAAAATCGTTTATTGGAAAACGTCAAATCATAACTTAAATCCATTAAAGGGAAAATAATTGGCTCATCATTAGTCCAACAGAATACGTTATTACCTTAAATGATGTTAAAAATCAATAACACAATAATAAAAAGACCCCTGACTAATGACATGTTCTTTTTGAAAGCCGAACATGGATGAAAAATTGTATTTTGCAATCAGTAGCGTATCTACCAAAATAATTATGAATTTCAGATTAACATTTCATTTACATTTCACAAAAACTGAAAATGTAGTATTTTTTTCCTATAAAGATACACCTATTTTGATGACATAATCTTTAAAGATGCAGGGATTAGGAATCACGCTTTATTTCAAGTATCAAGTGCCCTTTTGCTCTTTAGTCGTGTTAACTTTGTCGCAAAAACAACCCTACAGCCCCTTAAAAAGAATGACGTCAATTTTGAATCACCCTGTATAGAATAATGGAATTTAGAAAACTCTGCTTGATGTTTGATATCGAACATATTCGATAAAATTGCAATTTATCAGATGTAACCAAATGGAAATAATTGTATTGAAAATACCAGCATTTCCTTATCTAAATGAATATCCAACAAAATATTACATTGGTACATCCGAATCATGATTTTATTATAGATAACATGCAAATAAAACACAGGAAACGAACGAACAAAAAGCAATTAAAACGTATAAAACCCATTCAATTTGTACTGTCTGCACCACTGCCTTTAACAATTTGAAATCGAACAAATCCATTTTCCCCTACTTCCATGGGAAACAATAGTCATTGCCAAGTTGTCAGGTTCAGACTTTAAATTAATTGAAAAGAAATATGCCTCATTAAACACTGAACTCGTTTTTCAATCTAAGT